AAGGTTTTCCCTTTAAGCATTCCAAGTTCAGCTACAGATAACACTTTATCTAATAAACAATGGAACTTAATTTTTAAAATCCAACCGACAATGCGCATATTAATCTAGTTTAAGGGTTGCTCATAGCCCATAGTTTATTTCGTAATGACGTAATCGATAGTTGAGATTTTCGTGCTTGGCTTTTTAATTTTCAAAAGCTTGAACGGGACTCTATTGAAGGAGTTTGCATCTTTATTACAGAGCAAGGATGCAGAGGTAATGTTGAAGCTTGGTAGCACTCCTGACAAGCGTGAGCAGTATCGACTTATGAGGGATGCTATGGAGAAGAGATTTATCCGAGTCGCTCGTGGTTCAATAGTTGGTGGGATCCGCCTCGGGATGTTTACTGCTGCATTTTATGGTCTGCAAAACTTGCTTGCTGAAAAACGAGGCGTGCAGGATGTTTTTAATGTGGTTGGAGCCGGTTCCACGACTGCTGCTACATTTGGTTTAATCAGTGAGTACACAAATTTTACCGATGCTTTTCTTCTTTAAGGGAAAGTAATAATTATTTTTCTTTCACATTTTTTGTTTTGATGATAACAGTGCCTGGTTCACTTCGTTGGCGTGCAAGGAACGCGGTTTTGGGTTCGGTTTTAGGTGCAGCGATCTGCTTCCCTCTTGGTAAAAATTAATTTAATTTGGCAGCCTTATACCATTAGAGATTTTTTAGAAATTTATTGCCTTATTTTCTGTGTGTCATGTTTCTTTAAGTAAGCCAAGTGTTTCATTTAAACTATATTGACAATTAAAACTCACTGACTGTTTATCCTGCTTAATGGACCTATTGTATGCAATCACGGTTTTTTGTAAGCTTTTCAGTGACTTCGCAAGTGTTCATTCATTATTGACATAATGCTTGTAAGATATGTTGCGCTTAACTTTTTCCCAAGAAAGTGGTCAGTCAGTTCTTATATTTTGAGAATAAGTTCATAACTTTTCTAATGGCTGATTTCAGTAGAAGTTTTGATGCTCTATGAAACCAGAATTGATTATGACACGTTTTCACCCGCATCCTTACCTTCATTAATATTTTGAAATTATTCTTTCATATATTTACTTACTTATGAAATATCTGGCCAATTAACTCAAGCATTTTTTTAACTGTTCATATTGTTAACCTTTTTACCTTCTTTCATCTCTGTTGAGTGTAGTTTAAATTACAAACAAAAAAGGAAATATAGACCAGGATCAAACAACTGCATGTTGTACCCTGCAATTCAAGAAATTACAAATGATGGACTAATAGTTGTCATCAATTTTTCAGGTTGGCTTCATTTGAAGCTTGTAGAGAAAGCAAATGAAGGTACACCTTCTACTGATACCGAGGTCGGTGAAAATATAGAAGCGAAGAGTGGAGGTTAACAAATAGGAAGCTTTGCAATAACTTGATGACATGCAGTCCCAAAATTTAGCATCATTTGCGAAAGTTGAAGAAGACTTGTGACCTCGAGCATGCTTGTCGATGTCTTTTTATTAGAGAGTGGGGTTTTGTTTCGACAGTGCCTACCATTTTTGTTCGGTGAAAGTGAAGAATAGAAAGACTTGTTTGATATGTGTGATTTAATATGGGGAACTATAGAGTTAATCTGTCTGTGGACAATGTCATTGTAGATTTGAGATTGTAACTAAAGTGGCATCCTCATTGTTATCAGTTTTTTCACCATGATTGGAAGCTTATGCATTATTTTGTTCCTTTTTTACCGTCTCCTCTGCTCTGCCCACAGGTCATAACTACTATTGAAAAGTAAGAAAATGTGGGGCATTAGGCAATGCCTAATTGCTTGGTAATTCCAAGGTCTCAGTTTCCTCTCTTAAAAATTGCATGCTTACACTGTGGAAGTTCCATAAGAGATACGCTAATCACAGATCTGAAAATAGAAAGACATGTTATACATTTTTGCTTTCATGCGTTCTTGATGCTCGTTTTTTTATACTGTCTCAGGTTCCAGAATATACCCGTTTTTGTCCATCTGCTCGTTTTTGCCTTCTCTATCTGTGCAGCCTCCCCATAGCTGAATCGAAAAACGAGCTTCCAACTTCCCGAGGTAAGTAAAATCTAACTTCTCCTCTTGACCAAGTTACACCACTTTTCGATAAACTCCGACTCATCTGGATCGGTCCTTGTCTCTCTATGCTGTTGAATGACACGAAGAATCTCTTCAGTTTCCCCTAGCAACAAAGCCGCCTTACGTACAATTTTCTCTTTCTCCTTTATTGCCTTATGCTGACACTTCTCGATTATCACACGCATCAAATTCGTGAGGCAAGCTGCCATTATATTCGCAATCATGTTGCAAATCTGATCGAACAACCCCTCGTCTGCCTTCAGAAAATCCCCCTCGTAAGCTATCAGAAGCCTCCGGCATATCCGGTACATTGAGTTAGCCGCCACAATCTTAACTGGCCAATTGACCGGATTTTCCATCAGAAAATCATTCACTTCGGTTTTGAAATCCGAAATATCCTTCTCGGCATTTTGCGAGAGCTCTTCTAAAGTCTCTTTCGAGTCCCTGCATTTGAGGGAGGTCTTGTGGATGTCCTTCCCCTGCCATTTCCGGTACAGCTCGACTCCAACCCAGATGACATCAGCCGCATTTCGGTTGTTCAGTAAGTTCCCTTTCTTGTCGAGACTTTTCTCTATCAGTTTCACATAAACGAGCCCCTCGTCCACGCTCCTCAACAGCCAGTCGGTTTTCTGCTTCGGGATTTTGGGAAGTGAAATGGCGATGCTCGTGAGAGTTACCAATGGAAGCGACCAGCATTTGTGGGGTTCTTGCGTGTGGAGGCTCGGGACTTCATTCCGGTCGACTTCTTTCAGCCCTTTGAAGTTACCGATTTTTTGCAGGAGACTGATAAGGTTCGCGGGCCGCTGCTTTTTCCCGATCTCGATTAGTTTATCGACCTCATTGCATATGTCTATTTGGATATTTCGAGGCAATTCCGATTCGCCTTCGAGTAACAAGACGTAGCGGCTAAAATCGGGCTCCGGTTGGGTTTCCCATTCCCCGTGAACACGAGACGACGAGCTGAAATCGAGCGAATTCTTCAAACGCTCGACCGGGCTCGCGAGACAGAAAGACACGAATCGTACTCCTTTGCAACAGAAAACGATCGAAATCTGAATCTTGATGAGAAGGCTCAAAATGAGTCGTTTGGCTCGGTGGAGTAGTTTTCGCCACTTCCGGTCTCGAATATGCAGAGGTAGTAAAGATCTCTCCTTCCACTCCACGAGCTTTTGTGTCCAGTAAGCTTCGACTTTAAACTCGTCCTTGAATAATTGGCTCCCCCCGTTAATAACAATCTCCGAGAATTTGAACTTCACGGCCGTCAACAATCTAAACGCAGGCCCCACAGTCCCGACAACTACCCCAACCGTCTGTGCAAGCAAGATCCACTTGACCGACCACCTGTATTTCGAAGGTCCGTTTTTGAATATCCCGCACTCCATCGCCACCCGAGCCTCCGCCTCGGCCAAAACGAGACACGTCAGCAGGGACACGACTCCCGAGGCGGTACACGTGGCGGAACGAGCGATCACGAACTGGGGACTGCTCGTCTGGGCCATCACTTGGTATTTCTTGATCGTCACCGGAAGTTTTCCAAGCACGGCCAGCTCCTCCTCGTTCGAGGCCATTTTGAGCATCTCGTGGTACTTCGACTCGAGGCTCGACTTCATCGACGGGACCATCACAGCCGTGGACCCCACCAAAACGAGCGAGACGAGCATCAACAAACATGATATGATTTCCTCAACGAACATCTTGCGGGCCCTAAGCAACTCGCGCATTTGGATTATCTGTACGCACACGTTTGCTAATACGGTGAGGACGAGTACAAAAAGTGCGCACGTGTTCGTGAGGATGTCCCGATCGTCCATCGAGCCCAAGCAGGTCATGAAATTGGCTATGGCTGTGGACATGAAGGCTTGCGTGCAGATCTTGGCGAGACGGTCGGTTGGGGCGTACATCCGTGTGGTGAGGTCCACCGGAAGCTTCATGGCCACGGTCAGTAGGGTGAGTGACATTGCATTGAGCGAGAAGAATTTCGTCGGGAACCAGAATTTCATGGCTCGAAAGGCGTGGAGAGCATCGGCAGCCATTGCGAGGGTGCACGCTAGCGAGGCTGCGGCTACGTACATGCCGATCCACGGCATGGGGGCTTCGAGTTTCCTCTCCACGGACTCGGAAAAGGCCTCTTCGTCTAGCATTTTCTTTCTTTTCTTTTTCTTTTTTTTTTTTTTTTTTTTT